GAAAGAGGAAACACGAAAACCGATTTGGTCACCCAAACTGCAACTGCCTGAGCTCTCTTTTCGATTGCATCGATTTTGCAGCCCCAGTGTACTCGTCATGTGGTATTCTTCGTGTTTCAGCTGTTTGACAAAGATTTTGCAAAGTGTGCAGGTGACGCTGGCCCAACTTGGACAGAGTTGTGGCCTGTGCAAACCAATGCGAGATGCGGGAACTCATTGATTTCCTCCTGTTTGGTCTCAGAGTTCAGAAAAGATTGTGTGGGAAAGATTGGGTTGCGGGATTGTTGCTCCACTACATTCCGCTCTTCAACCGCTTTAAGGGCCACTTTGAGACCAGATCCTTTCACACCTATGTGCTGCCAACCTGTTTCAGGGAGCAAGGGGGCAAGGCACAATGGCCCCCCTTGTACTTCCTCAAATTGCTTTGGTACTTATATAATATATATAGTCATAGTCACTGTGACTTCCTCCCATGAACATATACACATATATGTGATCCAGCATGAAAGTCAGCACCTTTGTGCAGAAAATAATGTGCTGGAAAGTGCCAAGTTGGTAGCATGGCAGCACACTGACCATGGCAGCACCGGGCAGTGCCACACGCGGGCACAAGTTTTGAGCAGCTTCGGTGTCCTGCAAGCGATTTGCAGCAGTGGATCAGGAAGCCTCGGACAGCCGATTGTTGTGTTAGCAATAGTCACACAGTTGTCACACCAGTTCAGAGATCATCTCAATTTAGACTTGACCATGTGAGCGGTTTGATTTACATGCTGAGATTTATCAAAGCAAACCCAACTGTGTCGTTTGAAGTTCGTGTTTCCACAGGCCAGATTGCTGATTTTCTCAGTGGCATTCGCTGGATTGCAGCCGTGCCAATGTTCTTGGGTGATTCGAGCCGCCATTTCACGTCCACATGATCAATCCTGGCAGTTTCTTATGGCGGCATGAATGCCCGACCTGGGGTATTCCTGGAGGGATTGCACTCATAATTTGCGAAAGCTGTGTGCTTGGCAAGCATTTGCTTATGCTTCCTTCATTGACCATGCAACAATGTTTACATTATTGTACTGTTGTCACTATTGTTATTGTATATATATATATATGATAAGTATGTTTGTCATTAGCTGGCATCACAGACCATGGGGTGCAAGATGCACATAAGAAAGGCAACAGAAGGGAGATGTCAGGACCAAGAACATATGTACTAGTCTTGCCAAACGCCGGCATGCACTGCACCGACAAGGAAGATGCACCTTCCTAATGAGCTTCAATGCCCGACGTTTCTAGCATTTTCCGTAATGTAATCTTCGTGCTCCCATATGTTCGCGCTTCAGAGAAGAGAACAGGTGCCGTGCAATTGCAAATGACCTCGCACGGACGTACAGATTCATTGGTTGTTGATAGCTTTCGCAGACATTGGGGGAAAGATGGGGAACGCAAAGAAGCCTTTCAGTGTTGCCACGTCCACTACTTTCGATGTTGGTGTAAAAACAATCACTTGACCGCCCTGAAATGCCATCCCAGATCCCATCTCATAGCACGCTCGGCTCCATTGCAGCGCGGACATGGTGAGATGTCCATCGATGTCGGCATGGATCAAGTTATAGAATCCAAAGGGCCACCTTGCGGGGTCAGGAGGGTTTTTGATTCTCGTTTGTGAGCTGGACCAGTTTCTCCTACAGTTCAGCATAGCTCAGTCGCCTGGATCCTCATGAGATCCTCATGAGACTTGAAGGACGGAGTCTCGAAAGTTCACCACTTGACACCTCTCACCCCGAGGAGGCGCCCTGTGAAAGGATGGACCAGAGGCGTGCCAGTGTGGACGTCGCCCATATGATGCGCCGGGCCAGTGAGATGCAACGCTCTAAGAGATCCCACTAATAGAAGCCCTCTCACGTGAATTTGACATGGTCAAGTTGTAAAAATATGTATTGTTGAGTGGACTGTTGTTACATAGTGCAAGGATCCTGATCAAGTGGTACCGTAGTACCAGAAACAGGTTGACACTGATGTTGCGCCCCAACCCCCAAAACTAAGGTTCCCGAGAACGCACTTCATTTAACTCTATATACGTGAACCATAAACCGAGAAGAGATCAAGAAGGCGGCTTATTAGCTATTAATAGGGTTGAGGAGGACAAGTACCGCCAAAGTGTGGGGATTCCATGCCGGAGGTGGGCCAAAATGATTGCACCTTTGAACCCCCGGAGCCTAAAGCAAGTAGTGCTCCAGGCAGAGGATAGATACAGCAATGCAGCAATACATAGGCTAGACGTGGACCGGCCATGGCAGCAGAGATCCATCCAAGCTTGGTTGCATCACCTCAAAGCCTGACCTTAGACCTTGAACCTGCCCACAAGCCAACGCCGATTCGTCCCACGAACACGCAGAGTGTATAGACAGGAAAGGACTAGTTGGGACACAGGACCCCTGCAAGGCAAGAAACTGATGATGGCTGAGGTGATTGCATTGCACTCGGACTGTGTCGAATCCTGGTGTCACGCCTATGGCTCAAGAGCACCACCTGCTTGGCAGCAAAGAACGCCCAAAACCCCCCAAAAAGACAAACAAAGATGACCTATCCTGAAGGTGGTCGCGCCCCAAAAAGACCGAGAGCCAGCCGCGGAGGACTTCAACTGGAAGAGGATGCACAGGGATTCACACGTGTGTTTTTTGTTCAACGGTTTTGTGGCATGTGTGCACATTGGTGTGCATGACATGTACTTCTACTAGATGGGTTGGACATTTGAAAATCAAACATGCCCCATGGCAATCATTGCCCTAAAATTTGTAAGGCAGAGATGTCAGAGAAGTCTGGTGCAGAGATGAGCGGAAAGAACACCATCCAGCTTCTGAGGTTGAAGAGGATCGCAAGTGAGCATTTAAAAGAAAGAAGAGCCTTATTAAGCACCAGCCCTACAAGTCACCAAGCCTCAAAAAAAGGAACCCAGCGCCCAGCGGTTCACATTGCCGCGCCACTTCTGCTTGATCAAGCCACCTTTGGCTCAATTACAGGTGAGACAGAATTACTGCATTATGCATTTGGGCACAGATGTCGCAGAGCACTATATAAGACTCACCGTGGACAAGAACCAAAAGACAGAAGCGCAGCAGTTGTCGCATTCTGAGTCCCACATGGGCAGCTATGGCCACAGTTCTTGTGGCACCGAAAGCGCTCTGAATAGGCACGTTTGCGTGCAAAGTTGGTGGCTGATATCGATGTTGCGTGCCATCCTGAACGGAATCTCAATGCCTGTCCGGTCCCCAGCCATTCTTCCATGCCATTTGCAAGCATTCTTATTGTCACAGGCAAGTATTGTGTAGTTCCTAGGGTCTGATCAGCATGCATCACAGGGACGTGTCCAACATTTTACAGAACTGGCTGTAAACAAGGAGCTTCTGGTCGCCGCGGGTGTGGGCGTGGCCGGCGGCGTGTATACCTTCTACCCTGCCATTGAGGAGTGCCGGCATGCACTGGCTGGGCCGGCTTGAAGAATTATGGCATGCATTGGGTCAAGTTCCCCACCGGAAGGAGGAAACTGCAGTTTTAAATTGATGTTTGCAAGTTAAATCTGCTGCTGCTGCTACTGCTTTGACCAATAAACTTTCACACGACATGATCCTGGGCCATGAACCATGCTTGAAAGGACTTCAACCGGCGGCAGCAGGCCGTGTTGGCTGAGCGTCGGAGACAAGCCGAAGGCGTGCTATGACCTGCCATGAGTGTACGGGCATGTTGCAAGACCGAAGGCTTGAGTTGAGATAAGGGGGGATCAAGCTCCAACTAACCTGCTTCAACCCTTATGGGTGCTTGGGTAGGCAGCATTCACGACACAAAGCGTTCGAGTTGCAGCAACGCCCGGAATGATTTCGACATTGAGGACCCTTGATCGGGCTATGCCTGTTCCTCCAGCTTGAACCCAGGCGATGCGAACGAGCCTCCGCCGGCTGGAGAGGTGAGAAGGATTTGGATGCGCTTGACAGATCAGTTGAGCTTCACGAAGCAACATATATACTTGCACATCTAGGTTCTATGAGAAACATAACTCCACGCCGTTTTTTGTTTTTGTTCACCTCCTCGTGTTTCGGCCAGCATGGCAGGCTTCAACCGAGCTACGACGGAGGGAGGGACGGCCATGAAAAGAAAGCATTGCCGCGCTGGGCGCAGGGCTGGCCATGGCTGGCCACTCGACAGATGGCCCCGAAAACGTTGTCACACCAGACAAAGGATCACACGTCCACAAGTTGTTTGACACTGTTTGTGTAGACCGTCAGAGGCAGAGCATCCTTGAAGTTCCTTTAGCCATCTTTCATTTCGTTTGGTGGTCAATCTGGGCCCCAAGGCCCATTTCAAGAGCAAACCACTAGTGTGCTAGCCAAACAAATGCTCGCCTATATATAATATATATATATGATATACACATTATATCATACTTTACAGTATGTTATGCTGCTATGTTTAAAGATGCTAACAAACCTGTGGGTCGCGATCAACCGTGCATGCAGGTATTCTCTAAATGTTGGTCTCAAACTCCATTGGCCATGACTCAAGCAGAGTACAGCCTCAAGCTTGGAGTTCGGGGATTCTTTCCGTTCGAGATGGGTTTCCCATTGCCATGTCACATCGCAACTTGAAAGCATTCACGTTGCGATGTGAAGAATAGAAGTGCTGGTGGGCCCCGTTTCTATATTTGCACTTGTATTGGACATGCTGTGGTTTCGCTACAGGTCTCTAGACATGGGTCGAGGTGATGGAGGGAGGGAGAGGGAGGGAGAGAGGGAGGGAGGGAGAGAGGTTCCTTGCACCAGACTTGGCCTCATGAGTTTGGCGTGCAGCCACCCTTATCCCGATTCTCATCTCATCCTCGTTTGTCCGCATCCATCCTCATTCTGTACCTGATCCTTGTTCGATTGCTCTACCCTCGACCCACCGGTGCTGATTGCCTCACACTCCAAACCACGCCCTTCCGCCTTCAACCAGTCAATAAGACCAGAATAGCATGCAGCCAAACATGTTGCTACAGAGTTCGTTGTTATGTTGGCGTCACTTCGGCTGAATGCTTGGCCATTGGCTCAGCAAGAGGGCAAAACTGACCCTGCGTTGACGCAATAGTCAACGAGTTGGGGTCATAAGAAAGAACTGCTACGAGGAGCCAATGAGTGGTGTTCTTTGCTTTTTAAGGGGGCTTTGTTTCTTCCCTGACATTAGAGTCAGTAGAAATTGATTACCCACTGCAATTCACCAAGACTTTAGTCTGGGTCCAAGACTGGATTCAGACTTCCAGGAGTCGTGCGTGGTAAGGTCTGGGCCTGAGGGGCCTCGCGACGGAACAGCTTTAAAAGATGTTAGAACCACATATACGACTATGTGAGATTATGTGAGTGATGTGCGTGTACGTTGATGTAGTGGTGCCTGTGACCCTGCCACTGGGCAAGCAATAGAGCCTGCATAAAGTGGATGCAACACTACGACCTGTCGCAGGTTGCAATACTTTTGAGGAACTGTGCGGGTTCACCACACTCTGAGGGTCAAAGAGTTGCGGCTGAGGCCCAAGGCTCGGTTTGATGCAGGACTTTTGGTCGTGGCACTGGGCTGGTGAAGCGCCATTGCCATGTGCTTCATGTCATGTTCTTTGATTGCCAGTCAAACCACATTCTACTTATTTCTACTTCGCGAGTTTGAGCTGGCGGGTCAGTTTGATTCGGGTCGCTTTGAGTAAAAAAAAATTCTGGCCGCTTCGCGGCGACAACCGCCTGCACCGTTTGCTTCGAGAGAGAGAGGGAGAGAGCAAAGAAAGGCAGTTCGTGTAGTTCATGTCATGTCCAAGCCAACACCCCAGATGATGCGTATCCGAATCAGAAGGACTAGACGTTTATTGTATATAGTTTTTAATTGTAGTCGCTCGGTTTTTCAACTGCTTTGAACTTGTACATTTTCCAGGGGATCGCTATGGATCGCTATTTTTTGACACCCTTGAAATTGTACATTTTTTCAGGGGTCCAACTTACACACATATATACATATAATATAATATATATATATATAATATCCAACAATGCCCGCGAATCTCAGTAATTACCGTTCACGTCTAGGTCTTATATCAAACAAGCACCATGCAGCGGATGAATGGCAATTATGTTCAAATCGGAATAATGCACTGTTTGATGTGAGTTGGACCTCTTTGAAAAATGCACACGCGATTGACTACAATAAACTTGCAGGCATTGTTGGATACAAATTGGACACCGCCTGAAAAATGTACAATTTCAAGGAGGATCCAAAAAGAGTGATTAAAATACACTATATACATATATTACGAAAGCCAGCCGATAGGCTAGGCTTGAGCTCTTAAAGCGAACGAAGTGAGTTAAGGGATGATTTGAGAGGGTCAACCCGGAGCTTGGTGGAGAGCGCTCCAAAGCGAGGGTCAGAAAAGCAGTGAAAATGGGGTCTGGTGATGCGAGTGATGCAATGGACGCCGAGTGGTGCATCATTAGCATCATGAAGGGGTCTGGAGACAATTTTTCTAGTCCTGAGCGGGGCATAGGGACAGTGTAGCTCTGATCATACCAAGAAGGACCAAGCAACTTGGGGATAAGATCGCCGACAAGAGGAGAAGTAAGCGTTCAACACTTCATGCTGTGCTCCAATCTTGATCTCAGTCGCAGTGATACCAGCTCCACGGAACTACAAGCTTTCAACCATAGGTGCTCTGCTATTTTTTCCTCCCAGCCCTGCTCTCTATAGGGCTTCGCATTGACGCACGATACCCGAAACACACTTCAAAACAACCACAAAAACCATTTCAGGCATCATTCTCCTGGTGTTCACTCACGTTTATTTTTGCACGGATTCTCAAAAAGAACACCAACAAGGGACGCTCCAGAAGGCGCCGCACCAAGCAAATCAAGAATACTGAAAACATTCAACACTTCATGCCGTGCTCCGATCTTCATCTACGTCGCAGTGATACCAGCTCCACGAAAACTACAACCATTCAAGAATGAGTGCTCTCCTTTTTTCCTCCCAGCCCTGCTCTTTATAGGGCTTCGCATTGATGCACGATGCCCGAAACACGTTTCAAAACAACCATCACCACCTTTCGGGTATCCTTCTCGTGGTCTTCACTGACGTTTATTTTGACATGGACTCTCAAGTAGACCACCAAACAGGGACGCTCCAGAGAGCACCGCGCCAGGAAAATCGAGAAAACTTAAAACATTCAACACTTCATACTGTGCTCCGATCTTGATCTACTCCACGTTGATACAAGCTCCACGAAAGCTACAGGCATTCAACAATAAGTGCTCCGCTACTTTTTCCTCCCAGTCTTGCACGTCTTTCGCTGGCTTTCGCCCTCTCCTTTCTCAGGTGCAATGTTCATGGTGACCTAAAGGCGACAGGTACCATACCGTAGATTGACTTCATCATTAATGTGTCATTTTTGCATCATTTGTACCACCTCCCAGATCATATGGCACGCCTCCTCCATATCAAATAAGTATTGCAAAACCTTCCATTCCGCCCGTGTGTTTGCTTGTTTTCTTCCACCACACCTACAGACACACCTCATGATGCAGGATACGCATGTGTCCTCCCAAACGAAAAAAACACGGACTATATAACACCCCAGGAACTCAGTGTGGGCACCCTTATGCCCATCAGCACCGGTGGATGTAGAAAGAACGAGAGATTCCCCGACTTGGGCCTGTGTGTGCCGGGGGTCTATGGAAGGCAGTCATTATGGAACTCGCAGGAAATCACGGCTGAAGAGCTCGAGAAGACTTGCAGCGCCATTGCGGCCAATGTGAAACCGTGGGAGCTTGGAACCCAGTCCAAATGCTCGTTGGAAGGTAGGGAGGGAAAGAATCTAGATTTAGAGTTAGTGAGAGGGAGAGAGAGAGTTAGAGCCAGAGAGCTGTTTGAATTCATGCCTTCAGTCTCTGGTTCATATAGCTATAAAATGCTTAAGTAATAACTCACACATATATATAATATATATATATACATATGTTGTTCTTGCGTGCTCTCATGATCATGGTCAACCAGAAATCAGACAGAGCATTCTACCAATATACACCCTTGACATCAAAGATCATTAAAGCAGTTGTTTTGTGACATCAAAAACATCGGCGTTGGGAGGATGTGATTAATGAAGCCAATAGAACCATGCTACCTGCTGCACCCTACGTTGCCCCGACACCCATTCCGGCGCCTATGTCAAACAAGAGGGCGTGAGATATTGACCAACGCCCTTGCGCACAGAATAAAAACAGAAGAAAGAACAAAAAAACAGAGCTGTGGTTTTGTGTTTTTTTAAATATGTTGTTTCTTTTCAGTCATCGATGAAAATCCCACGAGGTCCGGCAGCTTCCAGTACGTAAAGAAAATCGAAGATGCTGGACGGAACCATGGGCGTGTTGACGCTGAGCCAGCAGTTCGTGAATCAGATGAACATGTGGCTACCAGGGTCCAAGCGGAGCTTGTTTTGCTGTAGCAAGCTGTACATGTGCTCAGATTCACGTCACATTTGGCATGCTTTTAGCCAAGGATATGATGAATGGCAGCAGATACTCTTGCACAGTGGCAACTTGGCCCACGACGGATGTCCACTACACACATCCGGAATCCGAACATGCAAAGGGGCGAACATTCTGAAGGACAAAGTATGTTTACTCCAAAGTCCAAAGGCGTTAACTAAGCCTTCAGAAAAAACAGCGACTATGCTGATCAGTCAGTTAAGATGATGATGATGACATGCCAAAGTAAGTTGAAGGGTAGAGTCACCCGTACTCCTGCAGGCAGTGAAAAAGATGCCGAACAGTGGCTCGCTTGCAAATCCAATTCCAAGAAGGAAGAAGCACAGACGGCTCGGTAGGGATGTGAGAAGGTTTGTAGTTTTTGACTTGAGAAGGAACAAAGAGAAGGAAGGACAGGAGGAAGAGGAACACAGAGAACACGAAGGAGCCATAGAGGACGCAGACGAGAGGAGCAGAACAGAAGAACACAGGGAGGAACATAATAAATAAAGGAGGAGAAGAGGAACAAAAGGAGAGAAACACAGAGCAAGAGGAACAAGAGAGAAACAGGGAGCGGAGAAGGAGAGAAATGGAGACACACAGAGAAGGAATGAAAGAGAACACAGAGGAGAAGAGGAACAGAGAAACACAGAAACACAGAGCAGGAGAGAAATAGAGGAAACACAAAGACAGGATGCCTTATTGTGTGTTCTCCTTTTATTTGTTTTCCTTTGTTCCACATCTCCTTTGTGTTTCTCATCCTTATTCCGCTTTTCTATGTGTTTGTTTTTCTTCTCCTTCTTTGTGGTTACTGTAGTTGTCTTTTTAATTTAGGGTTTGGACTTGGGGTAGGGAACATCGCTCCTTTTTCTAATTGTCAGTTCCTTTTTCCAGAGAGACGGATAGAAACAGTGAAGAAGAGAAATGTGGAAGGGATAAAGTCAGATTCCGCAACTCTGAACTGCGATTCCGCACAGAGAAACACAGGAGAGAAGCAGAAACAGGTGTCCTGTTTCTTCTTTGTCCCCTTTGTTTCTTTTCTTCTCTATTAGCCTCGGTATTTCTGTGTTTCGCTTCTACTCTATTTCTGCTCTCCTGTTCCTTTTCCTGGCTCGCCAACTGCTTGAGCCCGGAGTGCAAAGCAAGGACTGTCGATGCTGAGGGCGAACACCTGCGTTTTCCCCTTGTCATGCAACCACCGGGATAGTGGAGAGGCAGGCCCCCAAGCAAGGAACTACGTACTAGCAAGGCTAACAGGCATCTCGCATGATTGATTTAGGTTCCTAGATGTTTTGTGCACATATAGCTTCTATGTTTGTAAGTTCATGGAAGTTCTATGTTTGAATATTGCCCAACGTCGCCACATATACCAACATGCACTATAATGTGTGATTGCTATGCTCCAATTCACATGTAGAGGTGCCAGTGGCGTTTCAAAGCCTTGCTGAGGGTGGGTGGAAAAGGGCCCGAAGGAATTTGCCAAAAAGCATCCCAGCGAATGCGAGTGCCCTTGGCGAAGCATTGCTATCCTTCAAGAGCTCACCAACAAGGCATCCTGGTGTGAGCGAAAAGACCCATCGTCCAAGCCATTCCAAGCAGTCAAGACCACCCTGCACCCCCCAGCAGATCGGATGAGTGGAAATTCAGGAAGACATCCTGCTTGATAAGCTAGCCGCGGTAGATGTGAAAACCTGTATAATATAATTATATAACAGAACCTGCAATGTGAGGGTTGATGGCTCAGTCCCGGGGTATTTCAAGCACACATATATATAAATATATATATAATTGTATATATAACTATATATATACTATATCAGTGTGTCAGTGCATGTTTCTTTTGAATCAGCACTCACTGGCTGGCAGGGTTTCGATCCCACGTGCCGGCTGATGGATGTCTTCAGAGACGACCATTACACCTATGCCTGAGACTAAGGGAGTGCCACAAAGCGCGAAACGCCCCAGAAGTGGTTCATGTGTTTGACCCACATGGTTCATGTGTCTCATCCAGTTGCCCTTGTTGAGGCCGTAAGTGAATTGGCTAGTGGAGGCGGGCATCTCTCAATGTTTTGGATTTTGCGCCTCTTGAAACTTGAAACGCTGGCCTGTCCTCCAGACATGTTCAGCAATTGTTCTTAATTAGATGCGAGTCCTCATCAAAATGAGCATGCCGCCGTAGAGCGGCGTGATGTGTTGCAGGTGATCTGTTTTCCTGGTGCTTGAATCACCCGGTTCCAACACCTGATCGAGAGGCTGGAACTGATTTGGATTGATTTGGTCACTGGACCCTGAGCACGTCAGCTGAAGCTAGTTGGCTATTTGCTCTTGCCACCGGCCACAACAATCAGTGCTTACTTATCAGGGCCTGGAGCCTGCACAGCCTCCCATCACCCCCCTTGCAATCTCCTGCGTTTAGATTCCCACAATCTCATGGCAGAATTTCAAGGCGGAAATGCTCCCACTGGTGGCTCAGACTTTCTCTGCGGTGGAATGGCTTCACACGCCTCTTGGCGTCATGGCTGGTGCACCTTCATGGTGACGCAAGGGTGTCATTGAATTCTTTAATTGTTGGAGGCCATCGCTAGTAGGTTGGAGGCCCTTAGATCTTTCAACCCTCAGTCTCGTTCTCACTCTGGAGAATGCCTGGCTGGCCTTCTCAGGCTGGGGATAGCGCATCGTGACCTTTCACTGGAGAACATTTTGCTAACAGGCCTGGGCAAGCTGGGTGCAAGGAGGATCTCATGGGGTGACTGGAAGCGACGAATCGCCATGAATCGCCCACGTACGTGCTTCTTTGAATATGAATCGCCATGAATCATCGTTCATCACCTTCGTAAGCACGGATGCCCCAAACTACAAACACCTCACTTTGAATCTGAAATCCATGCACACACACACACACACACTTCACTCACACAGATGTGCAAGCGCTCTTGAGGCTGCGGGGAGTCTCCGCAGTTGGTGAAGCTCATCGACTTTGGCATGGCACATTTGGGGCGCTGGTGCCCTGCAGCCACCACCTTAGGTCCAGGCACATTTGGGAGGAGTACTTAAGGTCCAGGCGCTTGGAAGTTTTCGGGCAGTACGGAACGCACGTGAGGGTGCAGGATTTGCATGACCCAAAGAGAAAAACACCTTTGGAAGCCTTGCAATCAGCTGGGTGTTTGAGATGAGAGTGAGGGATGCTTAGTCCTACAACTCTTTGCCCTCGTTTGTTTCATAGGATTGTGTGATCAATGCTCGCGTACCAGGGAAGCCATCCTATCAAGCCCCGGAGCTTCATCTCAAACGCGAGAGCCTCAGACAGAACGTCAGAACATGTCAGGAACGTTATTGTTACTAGTAGCGATGCCCTTGTTACTAGTAGCTTCATGCTACTAGCAGTAATGCCCTTGCTACTAGGCGCTGGCTTCCGGCCTGTTTCGCCCCAAGGCGAATACGATGGCTTTTTGGCTGACACCTTCTCCTTGGGGGTCGTCGTCTATGTTTTGAACCCAGCTTCAAGACATCGTATTTGGTTGGAGAACAACTGGCTTTAGAACATGCCGAGGCCATGGCGTTGGGAAACTACCCGTGGCAATCCACCAAGCCTGGTCGCTCTCGGGTTTTCGACTGGGTCTCCTGCAGGGCCCTCAGAGTGCAAGGGAGGACTTTAGTGAGTGAGGCTTTGATCTTTATATCTTTGGAAGGCCTTCTTGTTTTCTATCATGCAGCATGCCCCGCGTCATTTTCTGAGGTCACGGCATTTTGCCATTCCTGCAGCGGCGTGAAATTGCCTGCAGCTAAGATAATTCGGCCTACCATTACGGGACGCACAGACAGAGTCCGGTGTACTTGAGCGGTAGTTGAGCTCAGAGAGATTCCTCCAAGACATAAAGCCTCGCCCCCAACCCCCGACGGGTCTGACACATCCTGGCCGAGATCTGGACTCACTCTGTGATGTGATCCTGTTGATGTGCATGGGTGGTGAACATGTTTCCACTTGGGGTTGGGCGCCATGTTCTTGGTTACTACTCTGAGGCCGGCTGCTTCTCAGAAGCCTTTATAGACATGATGGCAGCACTGCTGCACACTCAACCTGCACAGAGATACGGTCTCCTTCAGCCCGGCACTGAACTTCCTGAGCCGAGATTTACCACAGGCACTTCCTGGTTTCACCAACGCGTCCCCCGACAGAGAGAGAGAGAGAGTGGCTGATGCTCCTTTTCATGTGCAGAAAGCCACTCATTTGTGCCTGTCACTGAGGTTGGGCAGCAACAAGGAGGACCAGATAAACATTGAACAAGTATTGTATTCATCACAACTCATTTCAAAACGGAGATGGCTCCAATTTTGCCGAACACCAGGCGCAACGCTCGATTTGGGATTGCAAGTGGGTTGCAGCTCCAACCACTCAAGGTGGTGGGACGTCAAACGTAAGCGAATGGGAGATGTGCAGAGCTTTGACCCCTGCCCACCTCGATCGATACGCAGGTCAATGGAGGAGAGGTATTTCCAGCAATTCAGCATCTTGGCAGTCACAGACGGCGATTTTTGTGAGAGATGTGTGAGATAAGTACAGTATAGATAAGTTACATAAACCAATTTGGTATCACCATGTTAAGCCATTGAACCCCAGTCGAGTGGCTAGGCTGGTTTGAGCAGATGCTTTAGTGTCGCTTCACCTGGGTGCTCCTACTATTGTGTGGGGCATTTGCAGGCAACCTACACCAGAGCAAATGAGCTAAAGGTTTCGAGTGTAGCAGTTCATCCAAGCGGCTAAAGCTTTTCTGAAGTGTTGTCACAGAGAAATAATGCTCGCAAGAGAGAGAGAGAGAGCTTCAACCTTAGCTGAGCTATAACATAAGGACAGCACCCTGAGGCTTGGTGCAGTGGGTCAAGCCCAGTTGCACCTCCACGATCAGTTCAATCTAGACCTTGACCACACTGCGGTCCACAGCCGACCCACACATATTCATTGTCCTCACATCAACCTAAAAATCCCCGAGTATGGATTCCTTCACCCCAACGTTATAAAGCTCTAAGACGTTCCGTCAGTCAGACGGGGCCCTGAGGTTAGCACTATGGCCACGGAGACAGAGTCAGACGCTGAGGAGCACGGCACAGGTCGCCCAGCCGGACACCCAAAACGGTTTTGCCCGTGCTTGCGGGCTGGGCCAAAGCTTTCGATCACGTGAATCATATTGAAATATATTGTATTTCGGGTGTTTTCCATGCCCTTTGACCTTGGTTCAGAGATTTGTGCTGGGAGAGCTGCAGTTCTGCACAGCGGGGACATATCGCAAAAGCTGGGGTGAAATTGGACCCCCTCACCCCACACTCATTTGTGCATTTGAGGTGTCTGCCTTTGATACAGTGGAGCTCACAGGCATTGCATGGCATTGCCACGAAAATCAAAGCGTCCCAGTACCGCAACACTCCCACACCAAGCCCTTCCAGGTTTGGCTTGCTGAACGCCAGAGGCGCCAAAGCACATGTTTAGGCCTTTCTGTCGATTTTAGTTGAAGGATTGCGATGATCTGCTTGATAATGGTTGTTGATGGATTGCTTGATAGACAAACGATCTGCAGATATTTTCCAACCTGTGTATCCCATGTTTTCCTCATCTTCAGGGATTCTTGGTGGAAACCATGTGCCCTTCCTGGTGTCAACAAGTGCCGGCCTAGCTGTGCTCCAAATTGATGCTACGCTGCAGTACTGAAGAGTCCAAGAGATTCTTGTTCATGTTATATCATGTTAAATATTGGAGAGCAAATTTTTTGGAAAGAGGGGATGAGAACCCAAAGATGAGCCTGGTGTCAAGAATGGTGTCAAAAATCGGATATCCTAACCTCATACCTTTGGCATCCTTTCTGGCAGCTGAGGACTGTAATGCCTGGCCACTAGAAGGTGATCTTAGGCGTCTTGTTTTTTTTGTACCCTCACCCGGTAGCACTTGCAGCTTTCCAGCAGACAAGTGCCTGGTACGATAGCTCTTCGATCTCGAGTGCTGAGCTGATGAACACGCCTTGAGCACGAACAAAACTAACACAGCCAGACAAAGTCCTGCTGTAAAGATGTCATGAGATCATCTCCCGAAATCATCAGCTTGGGTGGCAAAGCTCCAAAGCTCGATCAGAACAAGGTTTTGCCCGAAGTGCTCTCAACTGGCTTGTAGTGAGATTGCTGGGGGTCTTCCAAGCCATGAGTGGCCTATTCACGTCTTTTCCACAAGTGACTGAAACTGAAGCATTTTGTCAATGTGTTTGGATGGATGGGGTCTTGTTGGCTGCCTTTGCACGAGAGCAGCTCGAGCAGCTCGGGCTGAGCCGGCCGCCCCGCGTGCTTCGTGCGCGACGCCGATCAGTGTAGAAGGTCAGCCACAGGTGCCCACTTTCATAGTTGATCATCAGCAGTGGCCTGGCCCTAGCCCATAAATATGACATGAACCGTGTTGGCAATCACCTGCACAGGTTTTAGTGCGGCCATTTGACCCAGGTAGCACAGTAAAAACAGTACTTGCCACTTTTGAGACCTTTGGACCCTCCCTCCTTGCTCAAGCCCTCACCATTGACATCCATTGACCGACTGGGGGGTGCAGCCTTTGCAACACCACATGTCACATATGTACCAGATACTGTCAGGTTTTGCTTGCAATTTGTCAAGCGTGAGCGTTTGAATAATAGTCTTGCGTGCGTTGCGTGAGTCCGTGACAGTACTTCCACGACAGACCACTACCTGAGAAAAGAAAGATTGCAATTATGCTTTTGCTCCCACCCCTGCTGTGATCAACTCAGTGACCTGTGGCTACGGCGGTTTCCCTCCATCGATGCAGTTTAGGTTGGGGTTCGTTTTCGGTTTGCTGTGCTGTGGCCTTCCCGGCAGCTAAGAAGGGAGACTGCTGCAACCAGAACCTGTCCGCTGGACATGCCGCCGAAAGTCGCCATATTGGAGATGAGATTCGGGGCAGCTTTCCAGATGAGAGAGGTTTCAAGGTGCACTTCGTTGGTTCAGGTTTTCGCACGAGCCTGGGATGATTTTCACACCCCAAAACTAACATCAATCGAGAATTGCCCGATTGGCACAGATTTTCTGGATGCTTTGGTGACTGGCAAGGTGCTGCTTCGTCACGTATCCCAGTTGGTTCTCTGAGAGGGATTTTGTGCAGATGGGCTGCTGTATTGTACTGTAAGTTGCAGGCCTTTTCTTTTGATCACTGCGCTTTGACATGTCACCACTGCTTTGCCAAGTGCACAGAGATTGGCGGAACTCATGTTTCCATTTGAGGGTTCCATGCCGAAGGTTCCAAGCATTCATATAGTAGAACCATGACCGTGCAACACTTGAACTTGAATGCCTTTAAGGGTGGAACGATCGGCTGCTTGCTTTGCTGCGCTTTGCGGCAGTGTTGCACCACTTTGGTGCCTTCAGATCCCAAACCTGGATGAGGCAGATGATGAACGCAGCCTTTGTGTCACACGACTGGCACGGTGGCGCGAACTCGTTTCAAGTGGAGACGAGTTTCGGCTGTGACGCCGAACGGAAGCTGGCCATGGCCGTAGGCGTGGCTCGAACCGCTGGTCACCGTGACTTGGGGTCCAAGCAGTCGCTGAAGTGATTTGAGCATGGGAGAGCCTCGACCTGGAGACCCTACAGAAAGCCCGGTCCCAAAGTGCAAGTCTTAAAATGACAAGATCTGAGCATAGCTATGTTGCTTTTCTTTTGGGGGTCCGGCCTAGGGTCCGAGAAGGAGGCCAAGCTTCACAAAGGCACTGTTGCTTTATTCAATTATCAAGTCAATCGCAAAGTTGGATGAGGATCAGGGTCATCTGTTGGAGATTCCGACCTCATCCAACTTTGAAAATTCCCATGCTCGAGGCTAGACTCATTGCCTTATGAGCGCTGCCCGGTGGCGTCCCTTTGTTGCCCCTGCGTGGCCTTAGGCGGCGAGTCTGCTAGCCAACTCCCAATGAACGACGCTTGAACCCGGACACCTGAGTTTGGGCAAGGATCGGTGCTGAGACGGAAATTCAACCACAGACTGAGCTTGTTCTCATGTTGAATACACATGAAGGTTCTATCATGTTGTTGCCGTTTTCTTCAATGTAACCAACTCGACGCCAAATGGACCAAGCCTTCGCAGACTCAGACAATTTGGCCTTGACCACAAGCCTTGGAGGTTAGGCCACGTGTGCATGGGCACCGATTCCTGAAGCTATGGCAGCTTCATTGGCGGCCAAATCTGTGAGAGTAATTGCTCTCCGGAGGATGGAAAGGGCAGAGGATTAGGTGCTAACAGGCCGGACATGTATTTACGTTTCAAACTAACCTGTGAGGGCAGGATGCATCTTGCTGGAGAACTTTTTGCTCGGAACGATGAGAAAATTTCGGAGGCATGTGGTGACATATGCCTTGATCTCCAGCGAGGGCACCAAATCGATTGCACGTACACATGATCTGCCGACTGGCAGATGCGGCCTAAGCCGCGCACGCACCGGCTTACTTCAGGGGCCTTTCGGGGGAAGCATGATGAGGAAATGGAGTGTGATATGCGACAAGAGTTGTCGGCAATGCGATTCCAAAAAGCAACAGAATTCACCAGGTACAAGATGTACAAGATTGTACAAGTTCTAACGACCCATGGCATAGGCCATCACAAGCATCACAACCGAAGGAGTTCCCAAGTTGAAGGCTCCAAAAAGCTGGTCTATGCATGACTGAAGTTCTCGCTCTGCTCTTGGAGAATGCTAAGCTAAGCGTTTTGGTGTCTCGCTCTTCTATGTTTGAACCTGATGTGCGACGGCTCAACTGAATGGCACATGTCACATACGGCAACCTAGCAGCAGTCATTCCGTGTTGTCGGACAAACTCGGAACCTACCCGACCACCTGTCGTTTCAAACTGATGGAACGGGCTTCGGCCTTTTTCGCTCAAGCTGCTCCTCCAATCTGAGGTGAAACTTCACTGAGAGAGCAAGTTGCCAGAAAGGTGCCTTTCATCAATTCAACATCACTCAGAAAACACCGGAGTTGGAGGGGCGACTGAACGGAAGTCAACTATTCCATGCAGTCTTAGTGTTGTCAAAGGGAACTATTTCAGATCTTGCGCGTGGTCAGGTACATAAGCGGGTGGACACCTAACATTCCTGCAGGAATGTGTGGAACAGATGTGTGTCCTGCTGAGGGAAGATACATTCGTTGAATAGCCAACTTGTGATTCGATTGTTAGGCCGATCCCGCTGCACTGAGGACTGCAGGTATGCTAAATTTGTGGGCTGCAGAGCATCGCAATTCAGAGTCAATGACTCGCTTTGGGCGAGTCGCTGCCTCAAAGAGGCTATTTTGAAACAGCCTGTGTGTGATAGACTGGCTGGGTAAGTGCATTCGCATGCGCGATTGCGCGCAGAGATGTTCAAGACGAAAGAATCGAAGAAAAACTAAGAAAAACTGAGTCCCCACCAGTCGTTGAGACAGCTTTTTTGTTGACACTTGCAAACTGGGTTGCGAGACACAGGTGGGACCCAGGCAGTCAAAGACCCTTTTTTGTTTACTTTTCTTGAAGTGTTCGGGTTCTTTAAGGAAATTTGGGAAGACTAAGATGTTCAACGATTTTCACCATACTTTAGATTTAGATGAATGGTTTTCAAGGAAATTACGAAAGCCAGCCGATAGGCTAGGCTGGAGTTGTCGATGGGCGAACGAAGTGAGTATTAGGGGGTGTGGGGGGGTGGTCGCATAGAGGGCCAACTTTCCTTTCCTGTTTTCTTCATATTTCCCTTTCCCCTTCCGTTTCCTGCTCCTTCTCCTTCCTCCATTCTGCCTTCCCCTTCTTTATTCTCCCTTCCACTTGCGTACCCTTTCCTTTATCATCCTTTATCTTCTACTTGAACTGCGTCCGGCAATTCTTGGCCGTATTGTCAACTCCTGACATTCCTTTTCACCTTTCGGCTTTTGTTTTCTTTCCGGCTTCTTGCTGAAGTGCGCTGGTGACCATATAGAAGATAATTTCCCGTCCTTTCCCCTTCCTTTCTTTTGGTGCCCTTTCTTAGCTCTCCATGCTTGCCCTTTCCTTTCCTTTTTTCTCCATATTTTCCTTCCCTTTCCTGATCCCTTTCATGTCCATTTTCTCTTTTTTCCAGTCTTCCTTTTCCCTTGCCTGTCCTGTCCTTTATCTTCTATTCGAACTGCGCGCGGCAATTCTTGGCCGATTTTTGAACCCCTGACACTCCTTTTCATCACTCCTCTCTTTTTGGTTTCTTTGTTCGTTCCTTGTTGAAATGCGCTAGTGCAATCTCCCGTCCTTTCTCCTTCCTTTTTTTCGTGTCCTTTCCTTACTACGTCTGCCCTTTCCTTTCCTTTCTTCACATTTCCCTTCCCCCTTCCGTTTCCTGCTCCTTCTCCTTCCTCCATTGTTTGTTTCCCTTCTTTCTTTTCCCTTCCACTTGCGTATCCTTTCCTTTATCTTCTTTTTAATTGCATCCGGCAATTGTTTACCCGTGGCATTCCTTTTCACTTTTCCTCTCATTTTGTTTTATTTCCTTAATCTTTGTTGAGTTGCGCTGGTACATCTAGAAGGTATTCTCCCATCCTTTCCCCTTCCTTTTTTTTGGTGCCCTTTCCGTGCTCTCCACGTTTGGTTTTTCAATTTGTATCCTTTCCTTTGTTGGCTCTTTCTATTTATTTATGATGTTTTTCTCTTGTTTTCCATCCGTTTACTCTTTTTGCTTTTTACTTTTTGAACTACATAATTTTCATCTTTAGAGTGTATTATCGATATTAACGTTTCTATTTTGAGATGTGTTTAATGCCTGTCTTCCACCCCTATCCCCCATTCTTTTTGTACATTGCTCTCCTCCACTCCTTTCTTTCCCCCCTTGTTTGTCCATCTCCTATTCTCCTTCCGTTTTCCTTTCCCTTTCCTTTCTTGTCTTCTTTCCGCATCTTCTGCGGGCACAATGGAAAAATATGGATTGACAATTTGTTGTGGTATTTGCAGCCTTTATCCCTTTCATTGTCCTTTCCCC